AAATTTCGGCCTTAAGCCAGGTGTGTTTTGCCATCATTTTTGCACAATATGTCATGTGACATTCGTGGCAAAATTGCACCGAATTTTGATGCCATTAAGAAATAAAGGCACCACAATATGTTGCATGTTTTGCCACGGTTTCAGTGCATTTTTAAATCATTTGATGTGAATAGGGCCTTACCCTAAGTTCACACTTATACAGATTTCAGTTCATCTTCCATTGTGCAGAAATGCACTACAGTCCATTTAACATGATTTCCTATGGATCTAGTTCACACATCTGTGAATTTTTTGGAAAGGGTCATGGACTTTTTTCTAGTGGTGCACTGAAATGAAGATTCTGGTGTCAAAACCGAAAAATCAAAATGCACTTGGCTGAAAACCGAAACTGAAATGCACACTTTTTAAAAATGAATATAAATTTTTTGGAAAAATATACACTGATTAAAAAAAAAAAAAAAAAAAAGTATGCCCCAACTTTTTTTTAATAAGAAAGAGAATGTTACAAGTAAATAGACACCCAACATGTCACGCTTTAAAATTGCGCACGCTCGTGGAATAGCGTGAAAATGCAGTACCGTATTTGCCGGCGTATAAGACGACTTTTTACCCCTTGAAAATCTTCTCAAAAGTCGGGGGTCGTCTTATACGCCGGTATACGGCATACTGACACTTTTTAGGGGGGCGGCGCGTTGCCGCCGCCCCCCCCCCCTTCCCCCAATGGAAGGGACACTAAGTACAGGGGTGGGCAGCGGCTGTTTCTTACCTGGTTCCGGTCCCATGACGATCCGGTCCAGGAAGCGCGGCTTCCTGGCGTTGCCGCCGCCGCCCCCCCCCCCTTCCCCCAATGGAAGGGACACTAAGTACAGGGGTGGGCAGCGGCTGTTTCTTACCTGGTTCCGGTCCCACGACGATCCGGTCCAGGAAGCGCGGCTGCGCCTTCAGTTCGGCCACTGGATGTTCGTGCGGCTGCTCGGCTCCGCCTCCTCACCAGTGATTGGCCGCCAGAACTGTAGCTCAGGAAAGGCACACAGGCGGCCAATCACCGGCGAGGGGGTGGAGCCGAGCGGCCCCGCGAAAATCGAGTGCAGGACCAGCAGGTAAGTGGTCAGTGTAGAGGTGCTGCTGCAACCACATATGCTGGCTGCAGCAGCACCATACGAGAACAGGGTCAGCAAGTGTCAGTGGGAGGAATAGTGCCCCATCATTGGTGTCACTGATACCAATGATGGAGCACTATTCCTCCCACTGATACCAATGATGGGGCACTATTCCTCCCACTGACACCAACGATGGGGCACTATTCCTCCCACTGACACCAACGATGGGGCACTATTCCTCCCCCCCCCACTGACACCAACGATGGGGCACTATTCCTCCCCCCCACTGACACCAACGATGGGGCACTATTCCTCCCCCCCACTGACACCAATGATGGGGCACTATTCCACCCCCACTGACACCAATGATGGGACACCATTCCTCCCACTGACACCAATGTTGGGACACCATTCCTCCCACTGACACCAATGATGGGGCACTATTCCCCCCACTGATACCAATGATGGGGCACTATTCCCCCCACTGATACCAATGATGGGGCACTATTCCCCCCACTGATACTAATGATGGGGCACTATTCCTGCCACTGATACCAATGATGGGGCACTATTCCCCCCACTGATACCAATGATGGGGCACTATTCCTCCCACTGACACCAATGATGGGGCACTATTCCTGCCACTGATACCAATGATGGGGCACTATTCCTGCCACTGATACCAATGATGGGGCACTATTCCTCCCACTGACACCAATGATGGGGCACTATTCCTCCCACTGACACCAATGATGGGGCACTATTCCTCCCACTGATACCAATGATGGGACACTATTCCTCCCACTGATACCAATGATGGGGCACTATTTCCTCCCACTAATACCAATGATGGGGCACTATTCCTCCCCACTGATACCAATGATGGGGCACTATTCCTCCCACTGATACCAATGATGGGGCACTATTCCTCCCACTGATACCAATGATGGGGCACTATTCTTGCCACTGATACCAATGATGGGGCACTATTCCTGCCACTGATACCAATGATGGGACACTATTCCTCCCAATGATGGGGCACTATTCCTGCCACTGGTGTGCATTGGAAGAGGGGTAGTCTTATACGGCGAGTATAGCTCAAACACTAAATTTTAGCAGGAAAAGTAGGGGGGTCGTCTTATACGCCCAGTCGTCTTATACGCCGGCAAATACGGTACTTAAAAATCTCCATGGGTGATGCTTTAAAAAGTTCTACAGGTTAGCAGTGTAAAGTTACAGAGGGGTTCTAGTGTGAGAATTATTGCTCTTGCTCTGACATTGATAGTGATACCTTACGTGTGTGGTTTTGAACACACCATTTACATATGTGGGCATGGCCTACGTATGCGTTCACCACTAGGTGTGAGCACGGGGGGCATTTTAAACTTGTACTGTTCCTTTAAAAAAAAAAAACGTAATCACTTTTATTCTTATCACAAGGAATGCATGCATCCTTGGTGTCAGTGGGAGGAATAGTGCCCCATCGTTGGTGTCAGTGGGAGGAATAGTGCCCCATCATTGGTGTCAGTGGGAGGAATAGTGCCCCATCATTGGTGTCAGTGGGAGGAATAGTGCCCCATCATTGGTGTCAATGGAAGGAATAGTGAAGATGTGAACCTCGCCTTAAAAAGGGTCATGCTCATCTCTTGTGATCATAGAAATGAATATACTTCCCTATACATGACCTGTGAAAATGTGAGCACATTGTTGCATCTGAATAGGTCTGCCAATCCCTCCACTTTTTGCCCAACGAATAAAATTCAAAACATTAACAATAACATATAAAGCCATTTATAACTCTGCCCCAAATCACATCACCGATCTTGTCTCCAAATATCACCCAAACCGTACTCTCCGCTCCTTGCACGACCTTCTGCTCTCTAGCTCCCTTGTCTCCTCCTCCCATACTCATCCCCAGGACTTCTCCAGAGCTTCCCCCATCCTCTGGAACTCTCTACCCCAATTTATCAGACTACCGCCTACTCTGCTCACTTTTAGGCGATCTCTGAAAACCTATCTCTTCAGGGAAGCCTATCCTGCCCTCAGCTAATAATGGAATCTTCTACTCCTCCTACAGTCCATCCCCCACAGTTACTACCTTTTGTACCACTAGCCCCTCCCTCCTAGATTGTAAGCTCCAAGGATCAGGCCCTCCTATCCCTCTTGTATTGAACTGTATTGTCTCCCTTTATATTGTAGAGCGCTGAGCAAACTGTTGGCTCTGGCTCTATATACATCCTGTATAATAAGAATAATGGAGCCCTGATCCCCCAAATGTCCATTCCTCAGAGCTCATAGATTCCAGAGCTGCAAACACTAAGAAATCATAACGCGCTCTGTGGCCCCTGCACGGACCCCCCTGTGAGGTGATTCAGGGACTGTCCTACAGAACAGGAGGCAGCCAAGCAAGCAGCATTTCCAGCACAGCCTTCCTCCACCTCCCTTCTATCACAGGTCGTTTTCCTTTAATAAACAAACAAGCCACAGAGCTGGTGCTGCTGAAACCTGACCGCTCCGTGTACACACCGTCTACGTGTCATTGTGGCCTCCACGCCGGGGACCGGACACATTGCGTCACCGGGAAGCTGCCACATAGGAAGAAGGAGACACGAGACTCTTCTCCGCCCTGAGCACGGTGAAAGGAGGGGCCCCGCCGGACGGAGGTAGGAGCGGCCTGTGCGCCATGACAGGAGGGCAGAGACCGCCACTGACCGGGGTACCTGGCGGGGCACGGTGGGCTGGTGACGTCACCTAGGAGGAGGACATGGCGGGCTGTGCTGGGCTCTGAGGGGATCAGAGCTCCCTCCTCACAACGAGGGCCATGCAATACATCTCTATGACTTGTGTGCTCAGGAGCCTGGCGCCAAATTCACGGAGACTCAGCCACATTGCCCTTGTTAGGAGCATTGCATGCCATGAAGTAAACATTTGCCAACTTCTAGGCTGCGACCACACCCTTCACGTTTTCAGAACATCAACAGAAACTTGCAGGAATGTGCGTTCTCTGTGCGTTTTGGGAAATGCGCAGCAAACGTGCGTCATGCTAGCGGTTAGCAGACACGCGTTTGGCTGTGTGATGCTACATGCTCAGAATGGTCCTGGAGCTTGTTTTGCACATTTGTTGCACATAGGACAGCCCGTTCACTTGAATTATTTGCTAAATGCTTGTGATGTAAGGTTGTCACCTCATGCCTTTAAAACCCAACACATACTAATGACACAGGTTCTGGGGCTCATTAAGGTGCTAATTGACCGCGTATGCTGCTTTGTCTGCATTACATTAGCCTCAGAACCTGTGTCATTAACGTGGTGAGATGCGATTTCTCCTGCGCTCTAGGACCCAGGCCGGAGGCGAATAGATGGAACCAAAACCAGAAAAAGGCGACCACCAGTGTATTAAAGGCTGTGCAGCTCCAAACAAGGCTGGGGAAGCCCGACCAATACGGCAAAGTGAAACAAAAACGAGAAGCGCACCAACCTTGCATTACCTCAGTAACCAAATTTATTAATTAAAGAATGGTACAAACAGCGAAAAAAACAAGCATGTAGTCCTTAAAGGGACTTCAGAGATAGCCAGCGCGAATCCATCATGGGGGTAGACAATACACTGACGCGTTTCGTCCCTTTGAGGACTACATGCCTGATTTTATTCGCTGTTTGCGAGTACCATTCTTTAACCACCTTCCGCCCGCCATATAGTACAATGACGGGCGCAAAGTGGTTCTCTCGTTCTGATAGGACGTCATATGGCGTCCTTCCATTCTCACCGCGCATGCATGGCTCAGGGAGCGCGCAGCTCAGCGATCGCCGGTGCGCTGTGTCCCTTGGACACAGCGGATCACGGAAAAGAGCCGAAGATGTCGGCTTGGTCATGTGATCAGCTGTGTCCAATCACAGTTGATCACATGTAAACACAGAAATGCTGGTTTATCGGCATTTCTCTCATCTCGAGCTGTCACGCTAACAGCTCGAGAGGTGAGGAGAGCCGGTAATCAGCTTTCCGCGGAGGGGACATGTACACTGATCATCAGGGCACTGATGATCAGTGTGGCCCCAGAAGTGCCATCTGTCAGTGTCCATCAGTGCCAGCAGTCAGTGCTCATCAGTGCCAGTGCCCCATCAATGCCACATATCAGTGCATACCAGTGCACATCAATGCCGAATATCAGTGCCCATCTGAGCTGCCTTTCAGTGTCACCCATCAGTGCCAGTCAGTGCCACCTATCAATGCCAGTCAGTGCCGCCTATCAATGCCAGTCAGTGCCGCCTATCAGTGCCATATATCAGTGTCATGTATCAGTGCTGGCTTTCAGTGCCCATCAGTGCAACCTACCAGTGCCTCCTCATCAGTGCCACCTATCCGTGTCCATCAGTGCAGCCTATCAGTGCCCATCACTGCAGCCTCATTAGCGCACATCAGTGAAGGAGAAAAATCACTTATTTACAAAATTGTATAACAAAAACTAAGAAAAAACTTTTTTTTTTTCAAAATTTTCTGTGGTTTTTGGTTTGTTTAAGAAAAAATAAAAATCCCAGAGGTGATTATATACCACCAAAAGAAAGCTCTATCTGTCTCAAAAAAATGTTAAAAATGTCATATGGATACAGTGTTGCATGACCGCGCAATTGTCATTCAAAGTGTGACAGCGCTGAAAGCTGGAAATTGGCCTGGGCAGGAAGGGGGTATAAGTGCCCTGTAGGCTAGAGGTTAATTAATAAATTTGGTTACTGAGGTAATGCGCAAGGTTGGTGCGCGCAAGTATTGGTATGTCGCGCTTCTCGTTTTTGTTTCATTAACGTGGTGTTCAGGTTTAACCACTTGCCCACTGACTACTTATACCCCCTTCGTGCCCAGGACAATTTTCAGCTTTCATCGTTGTCGCACTTTGATAATTGCGCGGTCATGCAACACTGTACCCATATGAAATTTTTTGTCTTTTTTTCACACAAATAGAGCTTTCTTTTGGTGGTATTTATTCGCCACTGAGTTATATTTTTTGCATAAACAAAAAAAGCAACATTTGGAAAATAAAATTTTTTTCTTCGTTCCCATTATAAAATTTTGCAAACAAGTAATTTTTTCCTCCTTCACTGATGTGCATTGATGAGGCAGCACTGATGAGGTGGCACTGACAGGCTGCACTGATGAGGTGGCACTGATGATGCTGCACTGATATGAAGCAATGATGGTCACTGACAGGCAGCACTGATGGGTGACACTGACAGGCAGCACTGACTGATGGCACTGGTGAGTGTCACTGCAGGGCACTGATCATCAGTGCCGATCTCCACTTTGTCAGCTGCTGGTTATCGGCAGTAATTTCTTCACGCAGTGACAGCAACTGTATTTACTCCGTGACCTGCTGTGTCATTGGATACAGCTGATCACGTGGTAAAAGACCGCTGTGATTGGTCTTTTACCACATCATGTGATTAGCTGTAGCCACAGGACACAGCGATCACAGAGATTGCCGGGTGCTCGCGTGAGGACGTCGTCATGTGACACCCTCACAGAACTGGGTAACTGCACTGTAGCCGTCATCCAGCTATAGCGCGGTTACCAAGTGGTTAAAGGGATGAGGTGGCAACCCTATTGTGACGCCACAGAAAATGTACATGGAAACAGGAGTTCTCGCTCTACTGTTTGTGAATGGGGCCCTAGGGCATACACACATAGGTGTACTGGGTCCATTAATATAGGCGCCCAACCTGTGGGTGGGGACTGCATGCAGCTCTTGGCCCATGCAGACATTAATCTGTGTTTCCCTATTGCCTTGTTATAGTAGTGATTTCTAGCAGTCTTATGTAATATATCTCCAGTCTATGACTGTCTCCTGAAGCATGTTCACAATCTCTTGTATCATGTCCACAATCTCTGACCATCTCCTGCATAATTTCCACAATCTCTGACCATCTCCTGCATAATGTCCACACCATCTCTGACCATCTCCTGCATCATGTCCACAATCTCTGACCATCTCCTGCATCATGTCCACAATCTCTGACCATCTCCTGCATCATGTCCACAATCTCTGACCATCTCTTGCATAATGTCCACAATCTCTGACCATCTCCTGCATAATGTCCACAATCTCTGACCATCTCCTGCATAATGTCCACAATCTCTGACCATCTCCTGCATCATGTTCACAATCTCTGACCATCTCCTGCATCATGTCCACAATCTCTGACCATCTCTTGCATAATGTCCACAATCTCTGACCATCTCTTGCATAATGTCCACAATCTCTGACCATCTCTTGCATAATGTCCACAATCTCTCTGACCATCTCTTGCATAATGTCCACAATCTCTGACCATCTCCTGCATCATGTCCACAATCTCTGACCATCTCCTGCATCATGTTCACACATCTCTGACCATCTCCTGCATCATGTCCACAATCTCTGACCATCTCCTGCATCATGTCCACAATCTCTGACCATCTCCTGCATCATGTCCACAATCTCTGACCATCTCCTGCATCATGTCCACAATCTCTGACCATCTCCTGCATCATGTCCACAATCTCTGACCATCTCCTGCATCATGTCCACAATCTCTGACCATCTCTTGCATCATGTCCACAATCTCTTACCATCTCTTGCATCATGTCCACAATCTCTGACCATCTCCTGCATCATGTCCACAATCTCTGACCATTGCCTGTAACGCATCCCTGGTCTCTGGCCATCGTCTATATCATGTCCGCAGTCTCATTCACACAGGTGCTGGGGACCATAGTCCATGAATGGGCTGTGTGTTTATATGGTTTGAGGTGCTAGTTGCTGTGTGCAGGCAGCTTGTGTAAAGATTCACATTGTCCCATTGCACTGTTAGCAAAGTGAAGCGAACCCTGTGTTTTTTGTGCAGGTTATCTGCATTTTCTCATAGACTTCTATTATGTCCCGTGGTTTTTGTGTGCTTTCAGAAATCTTACCAAAGCTCTTTCATACAGGAATTTTTTTTGGCACTTTCTGAAAGCGTACCAAACCCATGGGACATATGAGAAGTCTATAGGAAAATGAAGCTAACCCACAGGAAAACTGCTGGGTTAGCTGCGCTTTGCCTGACGTGTAGCGGGGCAATATGAAGCAGCCCTGAGTGTACAGAGATAAAGCCTCGTTTGAAGCGGAATTAAAGGCACTATACCTAGGTGCATGTTTAATCTTAAAAAATATCCTCCCTCCTGGCCCTCTTTAGATTTGTTTTGAGCAAATATAGGTTCCTATTAAAATGCAAACACTGAGACTTCCCCTGCAACTCAGTGCATGCACCCTGTAGCTCCATTGGCTGTCATTGAATCCCATCAACCTTTAGTTAGAAATCGATCACAGTCCCCCTCTACTGGGAGGGTCACAGAAACAGGAAGTTTCCCTCCAGTTGCGTCAAAGGGACAGGAAGTGAGGGGAAGTCTTCCTCTAGTGGGGTCACAGAAACAAGAAGTCTCGCTGCAGTGGGGGGCACAGAAAATGGGAAGTCTCGCGCCAGTGGGGGGGGGCACAGAAAATGGGAAGTCTCGCGCCAGTGGGGGGGCACAGAAAATGGGAAGTCTTGCGCCAGTGGGGGGGGCACAGAAAATGGGAAGTCTCGCTCCAGTGGGGGGCACAGAAAATGGGAAGTCTCGCTCCAGTGGGGGGCACAGAAAATGGGAAGTCTCGCTCCAGTGGGGGGCACAGAAAATGGGAAGTCTCGCGCCAGTGGGGGGCACAGAAAAGGGAAGTCTCAGTGGGGGGCACAGAAAATGGGAAGTCTCGCTCCAGTGGGGGGCACAGAAAAAATGGGAAGTCTCGCTCCAGCCTGGGGGGCACAGAAAATGGGAAGTCTCGCACCAGTGGGGGGGGCACAGAAACGGGAAGTGGGGGGGCAAGAAAATGGGAAGTCTCGTGGGGGGCACAGAAAATGGGGGGGGGGGGCACAGAAAATGGGAAGTCTCGGGGGGCACCAGAAAATGGGAAGTCTCGCACCAGTGGGGGGGGCACAGAAACGGGAAGTCTCGCGCCAGTGGGGGAGGGGGCACAGAAACGGGAAGTCTCGCGCCAGTGGGGGGAGCACAGAAACGGGAAGTCTCGCGCCAGTGGGGGGAGCACAGAAACGGGAAGTCTCGCGCCAGTGGGGGGGCACAGAAACGGGAAGTCTCGCTCCAGTGGGGGAGCAGTGGGGGGGCACAGAAACGGGAAGTCTCGCTCCAGTGGGGGGGTCACAGAAACGGGAAGTCTCGCGCCAGTGGGGGGGGTCACAGAAACGGGAAGTCTCGCTCCAGTGGGGGGGTCACAGAAACGGGAAGTCTCGCTCCAGTGGGGGGGGGGGCACAGAAACGGGAAGTCTCGCTCCAGTGGGGGGGGGGGGGGGCACAGAAACGGGAAGTCTCGCTCCTAGTGGGGGGGGGGGGGGCACAGAAACGGGAAGTCTCGCTCCAGTGGGGGGGGGGTCACAGAAACGGGAAGTCTCGCTCCAGTGGGGGGCACAGAAACGGGAAGTCTCACTCCAGTGGGGTCACAGGGTCAAGAAGCGAGGGGAAGTCTCCATCCAGTGAGGTCACAGGAACGGGGACTCATCCCAAGACATCTGAAGACCCAGCACTCAAGAAAAATATGTTGGCGCCACAGACTAAAACAGGGAGCCGGAGCTCCTGGATCACATGACCAGACTGGATTAACCACTTAAGCCCTAGAAGGTTTTACCCTCTTCATGACAAGGCCAATATTTACTATTTGGGACTGTGATACATTAAGTTGCAAGTGCATGGTCGTACATCATTGTATGCAAATGAAATGTATTTTTTTTTTCACATAAATAGTTTCTTTTGGTGGTATTTGATCACCATTGGGTTTTTATTATGTAAACGAAAAAAGACCGGAAAATTTGAACAAAAAAAAAAAATCAGCCAGTTCTCCATTCATAGACTATGTTCCGTTCATAGAAGCTGTAGTATGGCTATGCAGCAGCTGGGCGGATAGGGCAGGTATAGTCAGGCGTTCTTGATGAAAGCCTGTGCCAGCCTTCGGCTGGCCATACACTATACAATTTTCTGTTCAATTTCTGCCCAATTTCCTTTAGATTTACCTTCAACTATGTAGTGCAAGGGCCTGCATAATTGGATACAATTGAAAGTGTTGTTTAGGTTTGACCTCCTATTATATGGTTTTTGGTAAATCTAAAGCAATTTTCTAAAGAAAATTGTATAATGTATGGCCAGCCTTAGTTGTATTAATCCCCACCATGGCAGGGCAGAGAAACTTTTTTACCGACAGAAGAGGAATCAGCA